TGGCGAGTGTGTCTCCGGGACTCTGAGTCAGGGACAGGTGCAGCTGCTGGGAGGCAGATGGAATGGAAAGAGAGGGAACCGTTCGATTTGGCAGATTATGAGTTCATTCATGGACTTGATCAAAGCAGCTTCAGTGGAGTGGTGGGAACGAAGCCAGATTAGAAGAGGTTGAAGAACTGGCTGGGCATGCTGGCTTACAGCTGAAATTCCAGCACTTTGGGAGGCAGAGGCGGGCAGATCATCTGAGGTCAGGAGTTTGAGACCAGCTTGGCCAACATGGTGAAACCCTGTCTCTACTAAAAATACAAAAAATAGCCTGGCATGGTGGCAGATGCCTGTATAATCCCAGCTACTCAGGAGGCTGAAGTGGGAGAATCTCTTGAACCCAGGAGGCGGAGGTGGCTGTGAGCAGAGATCATGGCACTGCATTCCAGCCTGGATGACAGAGTGAGACTCCATCTCAAACAACAACAACAAAAAAAAAAAAAAAAAAAAAAAAGAAAGAAAGAAAGAAGAGGAAGAGGTTGAAGAGTCCATTAAAGGTGAGGGAGTGGACACAGGTGCAGATGACCCAGAGTTACCCGTCTACACTAGAATGATGCACATCTGTGAGTTCCCTCTTTTGTCATTCCTGAAGGCAGGGGCCATGCCCTGATGATTTCTGAGCCATAAATGGAGTCCAGCCAGTGCATAGCGGGAGCTCAGCATGTTTATTTCATGGTTGGATAAATGAGTGAACGGATAATGCATTGTTTGGGTCGAAAGAGCCTTTTTCTGGGAAAGATAGTAGCCGTATGTTTTGAGACATTTGTGGAAACAGAAAGTCAACCCCAAAGCCCATAGGCTCTGCGTCCCTTCTCTCAGCTAACCTCAAGGAGCAGTTGCACATGGGCCTGGGGCACGAGCCCTGGCCCAGCATCGGGAACCAGATTATTTATTTATTGAGACACAGTCTTGCCATGTCACCCAGGCTGGAGTGCAGTGGCGTGATCTCAGCTCACTGCAACCTCCACCTACTGGGCTCAAGCAATTCTCCTGCCTCAGCCTCCTAACTACCTGGGACTACAGGTGCGCATCACCACATCTAGCTTTTTTTTTTTTTTTTTTTTTTTTTTTTTTTGAGACAGAGTCTTGCTCTGTCACCCAGGCTGGAGTGCAATGGCACCATCTTGGCTCACCGCAGCCTCCGCCTTCTGGGTTCAAGCGATTCTCCTACCTTAGCCTCCCAAGTGCCCACTACCACACCGAGCTAATTTTTTTTTTTTTTTTAATAGAAATGGGGTTTCACCATGTTGGCCAGGCAGGTCTCAAACTCCTGACCTCAGGTGATCCACCCACCTTGGCCTCCCAGTGTGCTGGGATTACAGGTGTGAGCCACCTTGCCCAGCCTTTTTTTTTTTTTTTTTTTTTTTTTTTGAGACAGAGTTTTACTCTCTTGCCCAGGCTGGAGTGCAGTGGTGTGATTTAGGCTCACTGCAACCTCCGCCTCCTGGGTTCAAGAAGTTCCGCTGTCTCAGCCTCTCTAGTAGCTGGGACTATGGGCGCATGCCATCACACCCAGCTAATTTTTGTATTTCTAGTAGAGACGGGGTTTCACCATATTGGTCAGGCTGGTCTGGAACTCCTGACTTCAGGTGATCCACTTGCCTCAGCCTCCCAGGGTGCTGGGATTATAGGCGTGAGCCACCACACTCAACCTTCTTTTGGATTTTTAGTAGAAATGGGATGTTGTCAGCCAGGTTGCTCTGTAACTCCTGGCGTCAAGTGATCCACCCATCTAGGCCTCCAAAAGTGCTGGGATTACAGGCATGAGCACCACACCTGGCCCAAAAACCAGGTTACTGAGTCCCTTCTGCCATCTCTCATATGCCCCATGGCTTTGGCTAAATCCCTTCCTCTTTCTTAGAAGTGACCCGCATGGTGGTTCGCACTTGTAATCCCAGCACTTTGGGAGGCCAGGGTTGGAGGATCACTTATGCCCAGGAGTTTGAGACTAGCCTCGGCAACATAGCAAGTCTCCATCTCTACAAAGAAAAAAAATAAGGTAGGCTGAGTTCGGTGACTCACACCTGTAATCCCTTTGTAAACACTTTGGGAGGCGGAGGCAGGCAGATCACTTCAGGTCAGGAGTTCAAGACCAGCCTGGCCAACATGGTGAAACCCCGTCTCTACTAAAAATACAAAAATTAGCCGAGCATGGTGGTGGGCGCCTGTAATCTCAGCTATTCGGGAGGCTGAGGCAGGAGAATTGATGGAACCCAGGAGGTAGAGGTTGCAGTGAACCAAGATTGCACCACTGCACTCCAGCCTGGGTGACAAATCGGGACTCTATCTCAAAACAAAACAAAACAAAACAAAAATAGACAGGTGTGGTGCATGCCTGTGGTCCCAGCTACTCAGGATGCTGAGGTTAGAGGATGGCTTGAGCCCAGGAGGTCGAGGCTGCACTCCAGCCTTGGGTGACAGAGGAATACCCTGTCTCAAACAAACAAAGGAAAAAGGAAGCCCCCAGCACAGCACAGGGGAAGCATTTGAGCCAGTCCCATACATATTAGTTTCCCTGCTCTTCCCCGCACCCCATTTTGTTTTGTCTCCCTGGGCTTTTTACTTGTTTAGGAACTTGAAGCAGTTCATGGTGAGTACCCCGAGTCCTAGCCCCCCCGTTCTCTGCACACAGTTGCTGCTGAGGACGTCACGCGTGCACAGACACACGCCTGGCTTTGGGGGAAGTCGTGGCACTGGGTCTGCAGAGTCCGCTGAGCGCGCATCTTCATCGTGACACTTAGGAGACCCTGGAGTGTCCTTGGGCTTGGGTGGGGTGGGACATGCCCGTGATAGACAAGCCCACCTGCCAATCAGAAAGGAACTGTCCTGAGCTGAGATGGGGCCACAGAAGTGGAAATGGCTGGTGGGGAGTGGCAGAGACGGGAGATCGGGTGGTCACGGGGGAGCCGCCGGCCACAGAAGGGGAAACGGAGGTTCAGGGAGCGGAGTCCGCCAAGGCCCCGTGGCTGGCCAAGACATATGCCTCGGAAAGGGCCGGGGGACTTCCTCTGACAAATCCCCAACGGCCATTCCCAGCCTTCCTTTTTCGTGCAGCTGCAGATGCAACCTGTGGAAGAGGCGGGAGGAGGTCGGTGAGTCCGCCCGGCTGCGCCTTCCCGCGGGTGGGAGCCGGGACTCAGGCGCGGACGCTGCTGCCATCTAGTGGGAGATGCCTCTACTCCTCTCGGTTCCTAACCCCAGGGTCGTTCCCGGCTGAGCACTCAGGCAGGTTTGGAGGAGGATGGGGGAGATCCCTGGGCCCCTGGATCTGGGGACACGATGCAAGGGGGAGCCTCAGGACGGAACACCTCCCCCAGAAAGTGTGCATTGCCCACATTGCTTTTCCCCACTGTGCCGTGATTCCCTCCCGTGTATAAGGGAGGCAAGAGTACCTGCCTCTGGACTGGGCTCAGTGGTTCACTGCTGTAATCCCAACAGTTTGGGAGGCCGAGGCGGACGGATCATTTGAGTTCAGGAGTCAGAGACCAACCTGGCCAACATGACGAAACCCCATCTGTACTAAAAATACAAAAATTAGCCAGACGGTGGTGAACGCCAGTAATTCCACTATTCAGGAGGCTGAGGCAGGAAAATCGCTTGAACCCAGGAGGTGGAGGTTGCAGTGAGCTGAGATCATGCCATGCACTCCAGCCTGGCCGACAGAGTGAAACTCCATCTCCAAAAAAAAAAAAAAAAAAAAAAAAGGAGTACCTGGCTCCAAGATCAGCCCGAGGGTAAATGAATCAATCTGTGCAAGGGACTTAGTCAATGGAGTCCAACCAGCATAGTAATAGGTGTTCAATAAATGCTACCTGCTGGGCATCATGGCCCATGCCTATAATCTCAGCATTTGGGGATGCTAAAGCTGGAGGATCACCTCTCAGGAGTTCAACACCAACCTGGGCAACGTAACAAGACCTAATCTCTACAAAAAATACAAAAATTAGCCAGGCATGGTGGTGCATGCCTGTGGTTCCAGCTACTCAGGAGGCTGATGTGGGAGGATCACTTGAACCCAGGAGTTCGAGGTTGCAGTATGCTGTGATCACACCACTGTACTCCAGCCTGGGTGACACAGTGAGACCCTGTCTCTGAAAATAAATAAAATAGGCCAGGCACGGTGGCTCACTCCTGTAATCCCACCACTTTGGGATGCCAATGCGGATCACCTGAGGTCAGGAGTTCGAGACCAGCCTGGCCAACATAGTGAAACCTTGTTTCTACTAAAAATACAAAAATTAGCTAGGCGTGGTAGTACGTGACTGTAATCCCAGCTGCTTGGGAGGCTGAGGCAGGAGAATCGCTTGAACCAAGGGGGCGGACACTGTAGTGAGCTGAGATCATGCCACTGCACTCCAGCCTGGGTGACAGATGGAGACCCTGTCTCCAGAAAAAAAAAAAAAGAAAGAAAGAAAGAAAGAAAAGAGAAGAAATAAAACAAATATTACTGTGGCTGATGCAAGCAAGGGGTAATTGGAGGCGTGTGGCCCTGTGCTGCCACTCCAAACTGTGCCTGAAGCTTCCCTTACTTCTGGCTTTCAGCAAGATGGCCCTGCCACCATCCCTTCTCTTTGTAAATGCTGGGGCTGCCACCGTTATGGTGTTTTTTGTTTTTTGTTTTTTTTAGATGGAGTTTCACTCTTGTTACCCAGGCTGGAGTGCAATGGCACAATCTCGGCTCACCGCAACCTCCGCCTCCTGGGTTCAGGCAATTCTCCTGCCTCAGCCTCCTGAGTAGCTGGGATTACAGGCACGCGCCACCATGCCCAGCTAATTTTTTTGTATTTTTAGTAGAGACGAGCTTTCACCATGTTGACCAGGATGGTCTCGATCTCTTGACCTCGTGATCCACCCGCCTCGGCCTCCCGAAGTGCTGGGATTACAGGCTTGAGCCACCGCGCCCGGCCGTTATGGTTTTATCATCAGTTACATTCCGGAGGATGAAGGCCTCTCCTCTCCTCTTCTGATGAGGGTGAAGGATGAGGGAGGGGTCCCAGCTCCTGGCACTTTCTCCCCTCACCCCATAGTGCCATCAGAACAGCTCTGGGCTGTGACATCACAGAGCCCCCACCTCATGATAGGAGTCATGAGGCTAAGGCCACAGCTGCTGGTGTGGGTGTGGCTGGCTGTGCTGGGGGCCATCGAAACTGGTAAGAAGGTGTCTTGGGAGCAGCAGGAAGGCAGGCAGCTCTGGGACATAAAGAGTGATGCCCGCCTAGGGACTGAGAACCCAACCCTGCCCCCTCCCCTTTTCTCTCCACTCTTCTCTCCCATCCTGCCTGTCCCACCCATCCCCCAACAACCGAGAGCCTTGTTGTGGCGCACTCAGCTGACCCTGAGGGAAATCAAGGCCCTCCACATCCGCAATAGGGCTGGGTGGTCTCACAGGGTCCCAAGTCAGCCCCTGCTTCAAGAATTAAAGGCAGGGGTCTGCTTGGCCATTGTCACAGACTTTGCTTGGGTCCTAGCACCCAGACCCAAGCGTGCCAGGGCGTCGGCCCTAAGGACAAAGTCTCCAAGCTTCTTAGACAGACCTGACTTCTTCGATTATCCAGACTCGGACAAAGCCAGGCTCCTGGCTGTGGCCCAGTTTATTGGAGAGAAACCCGTCATGTTCATTAACTCAGGTATGAACCAGTTTGAGAAGGGGCCTCCCTCCCGCTGGGTCCTGGAGGAGAGCAGCCCCGAACCCACCCATTGGGCCATCAGAAGGGAGTTAAGGGTCCTGCTTGTCTAGCAGGTTCCAGCCCCGGACTCTTCCATCACATCCTGGTGGGCTTCCTGGTGGTGGTGTTCTTCTTCCTCCTTTTCCAGTTCTGCACCCACATGTAAGGCCTGCCCCCTTCCTCCAACCCTACCCACCTCCACCTTCCTTGGGAGCATCTGAAGACCCCAGTCCTAGCGGGGCAGTGTGTGACCTCCCCACTCTGATCTCCATGCCCCACAGAAACTTCCAGAAAGGGGCCTAAAGAGCCAGACAAGGGCGCTGGACTCAACCTGAACGCCCAAACGCATCTCCTCTCCTGTCGATGAGTAAAAGTCCCGGCTTTCCTCCTCCCTGACTGCCCAGCGAGCAGCGAGGGGTCCTGCCCTCTCTGTGTTTCCCATAGCCCAAGCCCCTCACCTCCTCCCTTCCCAGCCCCAAAGAACATGGTGACGAGGGCCTTGGTGGCGTTCACGTTCACGCAGATCGTCTTTTATTAGCGGTCTGTAAAGCACCTCCCAGGGTCCCCCGACCCCAGATTGGAGGAAGCCTTGAGAGGTCAGTAGCACCAGGGACATGCCAGGGCCCGAGGGCGCAATGTGCAGCTGATGGTGAGGGACGGGGCGCCCCTCGCCTGCCCCCGGGGTTGTCAGCACTGGGAAGGCTTGCGGGTAGCAGCTACCTTCCAACCCCAACCCAACAGACTAGTTCAAATTTGGGTAAATAAATAAAATAAATAAGATTCCTCAAGCTGGCCTAACTGGAGAGGAGCCATGGGGTCAGCTGGCCACTCGGGAGACCCGAGGGCCAGTGGGGGTTGGTTGGAGAGTCCTCTCCTCCCAGGTGACAGGGAGCCGGGGTGGGGGTGGCAGCGGAGGGGCTGGGATGGCCTTGGCAGCAGCGCCTTCCGACATTCTGACTCCTGGTTCCCCTTGAAACCCTGTCGATCTCCGCCCCAACAAGCCTTCCCACCCTCAGTGGGTGGGAGGTGGTGCCCCCTCCCCTCCTCCAGCACAGGGGTGTGCAGGAAGTGGGCACAGTGGGGAGAAGAGGTCCCATCTCTCCTGCCCTCAGCCCCCGAGAGATGGCACCTCTTCCCCTTCGGGCTCATCAGTCCTGGGGCTCTCCGGACAAGAGGGCCCCGGCTCCCACCCCCGGCCAGCAGCCCCAGAGCCCTGTTCCCATGGGGCTGAGGGTGGGGAGGGGGAGGGTCCTCAGTCCTGGGTCTGGCAAGCCGGGGGCGGCCGGGAGCGAGGCCAGAAGAGCCGGCAGGCCCCGCGGCAGATGAGGAAGAACCAGTAGAGCTGGGGGGCCAGGAGCAGCGCGGCGCCCAGGTTGACATGGGCTGGGATGGCCAGGGGCACGGCCAGCAGGGGCAGGCCGGCGTGGCGCCCGTAGGCCCAGTACAGGTAGGGGAAGAGCAGCACCCGGCAGCACAGGAAGCTGAGCAGCATCAGGGCCCCGTTGACCTTGTGCAGCAGCGTGTGCTGCTGCTTGTACTGCAGGGACACAGACATGGTGGCCGTGGCAGCAGAAGGGCTGCCCCCCTCCCCGCCCGCTTCCTGCCTCCCCACTACCCCAGCAGGCAGCTCCTCCCAGACCAGACACTTTGCCAGGACACAAGCACCAGCTCAAAGGGCACGGAAGGATGACAGAGGGGCCAGAGCCCTCGGCAGCAGCCCTGGAGGTCCCTCCCCTTCCTGTGCCCTTCCACTGGGCTCCCGCACCCTCCCCTGCCCACTCACCTGGATGAGGATCTTGCCAAGGCAGACGAAGGGCGTGCTGACCTCTGCCATCAACATGCAGCCCAGAAAGAAGTCTCCCTTCCCCTGTCGCCACACCTGAGCAGAGAAGCAGGAAGGTGAGGGGCTGGGGCTCCCCCTGGGTTCTGGGGCACCCCCCCGCCCTTCCTCTCTCCCCTCTGTCGCTTTTGGAGATGCTTGACTCTGAACATCAGAACACCTGGGTGCAAAGCTGGGCGCGGTGACTCACACCTGTAATCCCAGCACTTTGGGAGGCTGAGGCAGGCGGATCACGAGGTCAGGAGTTTGAGACCAGCCTGGCCAACATGGTGAGACCCCTGTCTCCACTAAAAATACAAAAACATTAGCCAGGCATGGTGGTGGGCACCTGTTATCCCAGGTACTCAGGAGGCTGAGGTGGGAGAATTGCTTGAACTTGGGAGGCGGAGGTTGCAGTAAGCTGAGATCTCACCACTGCACTCCAGCTTGAGCTACAGGGTGAGACTCCATCTTGGGGTGTTGGGGGAAGAAAGAACACCTGGATGCAGGAGCAGGTCATGACTTGGCTGCCTCCCTCCCACAGTCCTGCAGAAAGACTGTGTTCCCTACATCATGGGTGAGGAAACTGAGGCTCAGAGACATGCAACCACGCATCAAAGCGCTACAGCTGGGCATCGTTCAGGCCGGGGCCAGTGCCCCCACACTCTGGTGCCTCTTGCAACTGGTCTGGGCTGGGAACCCTACTGGTCCACAGCTTTCCCTGGGAACGCGCTGGGTCTGCTTGTCTGCTGGTACCCAAACCCAGGGCTTCCCAGGCTCCTGCTGGCGCCTGCACCCCACCCACCCAGCTCCCCGGAACTCACCACCGACAGCGGGAAGCACACCAGCACCATGGCGGCGTGGTGGAGCACCATGAGGAACTCCTTGTGCAGGTAGCCGCGCGCGATGGCCCACGTGCTGCCCGGAGCTCTGGCCGCGCTGTCGTCCCCTCCGTGTCCTTTCACCTGGTGCTTGTGCCAGTGACAGAGGAACATGGCGTAGATGTCATAGATGAAGTAGGGCACAGCAAACTGCGTGTAGGCAGAGGACAGCCAGTGTCTGTTGGGCAGAGGAGGTGGGGAGCAAGGAGGAAAGGGGTGCCAGTGAGCGGGGGCGGACCTCGGGGGTCAGCTCGGCAGTCGTGGGCAGGAGCAGAGTCTCGGGTACAGTGAGGGATCCGGAGAGTCACACAGTGACACAGGTCAGGCAGTCATGCAGCTAGTAAGAGATGGTGCTGGGATTCAAACCTGTGGCCTCAGAACCCACCCATGTTCCTCTCTCTCTGCCCTACAGTGGGGGGGAAAGAAGAGACCAGAAGATGCCCACAGACCAAAGGGCACAGATAGAGTGCCAAAATAAGCCCAGGCCAGGCAGGTGGGACCTTGCCATGGTTATTTGTCCTAACCTTACCCTGAGGTGAGGATCAGCAACAGCTGAAGGAGCGAGTGCTAGAGAGAGAGGTCTCGGGCGTGGACACTGTTCCTGCCTCCCAGGGCAGGCGATCTTCCGAACCTTCACATGCATGCACTTATTTACCCCTCCCAAAACCCTGTAAAAGGTAGGTGTGGCCGTCATCCCCCCATACAGATGAGGAAGTGAGTCACAGAGGGGCTAGGTAACCTGGCCAAGGAGGGGACACGGGCAGTGTGGCTCCACAGCCCTCACTCTCAGCCCTGCTGTCCCCAGAAGATCTCAGAGGCATCAGAGGCCCTGCTTGCTGGCAAGTGAAAGGACTTCTCAGCGCTGTTCACCCTGCCCCAAAGTAACCCAATCTCTTGTCTGTTGTGTGTTGTTTTTCAGGGACAGTGAAGCATTAAGGGGAAAACGCAGAACAAAAGGAGCCAAGGACAGAGAAAGTGCCACGTACTTGGAGAGTAAACAAACATGAGAAATGCAGGATATGCAAGACTGCATTTTTCTTCTGGAGTCAGCACATTGACATTTCTCTTAAACCCTGTAGTCCTGAGACTGGTCTGGAGTGGGGGCAGGAGGTCAGAGAGGCAGGCCCCGGGGAGCCTGTCCCACAACGGGGAGGAGGGAGGAAAGCAGAGTCAGCCAGAGGCCATCACCAAACATGAGGTGCGTGAGGGAGCCGTAGAGAAGCTGGGGCTGAGGCCTCTGAGGCTGGGGAGCCTGGGGCAACCAGCTTGTGAAGGGAGCCAGCCCACTCTCCAGCATGGACAGTACCAGGGAAAAGAGAACCGGAGACCATAGTGCAGTGGTGTGGAGCTGAGGCCAGGAGTGACGACAGCGGAGGGGTGGCTTTGGAGAACATGAGGTGGGAACACAGGGAGAGAGGGGCCAAGTGGCCTGGAGGAGTCAGGGCAGGGAGCAGCCCAGCGAGCTGGCCCAGCAGATGAGACGAGAGATGGGAGCACTGGGCTGGGATGGGAGACCAGGAGGGGCCACCAGGCCCAGGGCTGCAATGTGAGGTGTTAAATCCCATCCCCACCCTCTCAGCAATTAGGTGCTCAGAAGTCGGAACAGCTGCTGCCCTGGATTAACCTGGATCCTCCCCACCTATCTGAGGATTAAAGTGGGGAGGAAGGACAGGAACAGACACAGGGGGGCCTGGGGAGCAGCGGGGGTGCAGAAGCCAAAAGGTGACTTCTGTGTGTGAAGGCTGGGGAGGAAGCACCGGATCCCAGGCTCAGCTTGGAGCAGGGATGGGAAGGGGCGGGCAGAGGCCAAGAGGCAGCCAAGTCCCTGGGCAGGGTCTGAAGAAAGAGTTAAGCCAAGAAGTGTCCTCTGAGGCGGCCACTAACTCAATTCCTCTCGCTGAAGCCTTTCCAGGAAGGGCCAGTGCCTCACCACAGAGGAGGCGACTCATCTTCGGGAAAAGAGGCAAACAGAAACACCCCCCACCAGGGGCAGCCGGAGAATGTCCCCTGGGGCTCATTGGCTGCCAGGGAAGGGAAGCAGGGCCAAAAGCTATAAGGAGGGCGTTGTGGATGCCTCGCAGACAACTAGCAACGGGCCGCCCGTGGGTCACCTGCGGTGGCCGTCAGCACCACGGACAGGGCCCCTCTCCTCCCCATCCTCCGCCTCCTGCCTGCACACCTCTGAGCCTTTTTGGCAAGCGCCAGACACTGCAGCAGCTGCCCGGCCACAGTTTGGCCTCCTCGCCCTCGTCCCCTCCCCCACTGCCTGGCGCGTGTGGCCTTGTGCGTGTCATCTTCCCATCTCCTCTCCCTCACGCGTGGATTCTGGGAGGGGCTACGGGGTGAGCCTGGCGTGAGGACGGGGCGCCCCACCTGGGCGCTGGCTGGAAATGGGGTCTGCCTCCTGGGGCAGAAGGCTGGAAGGAGGTGGGGAACCCATGACACCACGGGAGACCTGGAAGCTACTAGGAAGCACTTGGAGGATCCTCTCTGATCCCCACTCCTTCCCCGCTTGGGGCTGCCTTTCAAGGACAGGATGGGATCAGTTCATTCCCCGGTGCTGAGTTGCAGTTATTGCAGTCAACTTGCTCCGGCCTAAGTTAAGAGCTTAGGGACCCCGGACAGAGCTCCCTCCAAGATGTGGGGTCTTCCGGGGTCACGCGTACACACCAGCCACTGGCACCTGGGCAGAGGGGTCTCAAGGCACTTACTGGTCATCGATGATGTGCTTGCAGGAGGTGGAGACGATGTAGCCGGCGGTGGAGGCCATGATGGCCTGGACAGAGGACACCAGCCTGGGGGAGAGAGGGGCGCGCTAGAAGGGCGGAAGGGAAGAGGCATGTGCCTCCATTTCTCCTCGTTGCTAGTCTAGCGACTGCGCTTTAAGTTTAGCCACTGCTTGGGCCAGTCCTTGCCCACCTTCTCCAAGGCTGGGCTAGCCCGAGATGTGCCCCACCACTGCCACCTCACAGCCCCCTGGCCTGCTTGGCTGCTGTTCCTCAGTCCGCCACCCTCCTCACCACCTTCTCCCTTCCCCTTCCCTGTGTGTGGAAGCTGAGTCT